TGACTTGAGGCATCAGCCTTATATAGTTTTTTCCAGGTGTAAGAACACCTCTTTGTTCTTACTGTGGAAAATTACAGCAAAATGGAGTCTGGAGTCACATGGGCAAGTTCCTGCATACTTTGCTGAGTCTCAAGGCATATTTGTCTTCTCTCAATGGGTCCATTGTATAGCTGATGGTCCTTAATGGGCCATCAAGCAGGCTCGGCAGAGCTAACACCAGTTTGTCTGGGATGTCACCCAGCAGCATAGCATAAGTTTGAAATACAGACAGTATAGAGCCAATATTCATAACTTCAACTACAAAAGTAATACACACATTTAGACAGCATAATCATACCCAGTAAACCATAATCTTGTCTTAGACACCCCATTTGACCCCCTTTATACAAGATTTGCGTGCCACTACAGGACCTCGGTTGCAACAATGATCTATATGGTCCCAGATTATATCAATAACGTCACAGATGTGGTTGCCCCATCTCAAAAAAGATATATTGGAAGTGAAAAAGGTACAGAAAAGGGCAACAAAAATGATTAAAGGTATGGAACAGTTTCCATATGAGGAGAGATTAAGACGACTGGGACTTTTCAGCTTGGAAAAGAGATGATTAAGGGGGGGATATGATAGAAGTCTATAAAATCATTACTGGTATGGAGAAAGTAAATAAAGTGTTATTTACTCCAGCTCATAACACAAGAACTAGGGGGTCACCAAATTAAATTAATAGGCAGCAGGTTTAAAACAAATAAAAAGGAAGTATTCCTTCACACAGTGCACAGTCAAACTGTGGAACTCTTTGCCATGGGATGTAGTGAAGGCCAAGACACTAACAGGGTTAAAAAAAGAACTAGAGAAGTTAATAGGACAGGTCCATCAATGGCTATTATCCAGGATGGGCAGGGATGATGTCCCCAGCCTGTGTTTGCCAGAGGCTGGGAATAGGTGACAGGGGATGGATCACTTGGTGATCACCTGTTCTGTTCATTCCCTCTGGGGCACCTGGCACTGGCCACTGTCAGAAGACAGGACACTGGGCTAGATGGACCTTTGGTCTGACCCAGTATGGCCGTTCTTATGTTGATTCAGGTTTTTTCCTCCAGGTAAAGAATACTCTTGTGGGAAATTCTGCGCCACTGCATGCGCACAGAATTCTTTGCTTCCCTGCAGAAAAATGACTGTCTGATGGGGAAGCAAAGGGAAGCTGCAAGAGCGGTCACGTGCCCCTCCCCAGCAGCGTGGGTGTGTTATTTGGGGCACACGGAGCAGGAAGCAGAGAGGGAAATTGTCAGGTGGGCGAAGAGGACTGGAGACGCCCCGGCTGGAGGCTCCTACCCTGTGTTGGGCTCAGCTCCTCTTCCCCTGCAAGGAGCAGCCAGGGCTGGGTCAGACCTGCCCCAGAAACTGCCCCCAGCTGCAGGAAGCTCTGCACCCCCCATGCTTAGTGCCCCCATTGCTCCTCAGCTGTGGGGGGAGGGGTCACTGTACATATAGCTGCTCCCCCGTCTGCCCAACCCCTGTGCATCCAGACTCCTCCCACATCCAGACCACCCCTGCTGAGCCTCAGCGTCCCCCCTTGCACCCAGAACCTTTCCACCAAGACCCCCGCACCCAGAACCCCAACCCCTCTTGCCTCTGGACCCCTCCCACACCCTCACCCCACAGAGCCCCAACCAGCTGCACCTGGACCCCCATCCCACAAGCCCCACTCCTCCAGCAACCGGACAACCCTGCTAAGCCTCCCACACCAAGCCGCGATCACCTTTACCTGGACCCCCCCGGAGTCCCATTGCCCCTGAACCCAGAACACCCTGAACAAGCCCCTGTGCATCCAGCTCCCCCACACACACACCTCCCCCCCCGCACCCAGACTGACCCACACAGAACCCTCTCACCCTGCACCTGGATCCCCCACATTAGGCCGCTCCACCCTTGAATCCTGCCAGGCTGAGCCGTCTATCCCCACCTGGTGCGCCTGACACAGAGGGGCAGAGCCCCAGGGTGTTTCTGGGGCAGGCCAGGCCCTTGTGCTGTGTCAGGGTGGGGTGTGGCCTTACCATTGAGTCCCTGTCCTGGGGGGCTGCAGAGATCTCCCACCTCCGTGCAGCCAGTGGTCTGGGCTCCCCCTGCCATGCTGGAGCCTCCACATTTATTGACAAAATTTGCAGAATTTTAAAATATTGTCTGAATTTTTAATTGGTTGGAGCAGCATTCCCTCCGGAGTACAAGCAGCAGGGAGAGGGTTAAACAAAACCACTTGAAGTCCCTCCCTGAAACTTAACCCCTTCGCTGCAAAGAAAGTCACCTCTGAGCAATCCCTGGAAATGTTTAGAGTTCCTGGGTTGGGGGAAGGGGTCTATTTCTGCAAGAGTCAAAGGGCAGGTTTCTGGTTTAACACTTGTTTTATATAATCCATGAGGAAGAGGAACTAGGTGAGGATCTGGGGAAATGTGAGGAAGTTACTTGGGCTGGTGGGGCACGTCCTGATGGAATCTCAACCCACCACATGTGTTTGTGTTAATTTTAAGATACATGGCGGTAGTCCCAGACGCCAACCAGGTCACAGCCCCCACCAAGCTAGGTGATGTACAAGGTGTTCAGTGAAGGGAACAAGACAGGTGGGCACAAGGGAAGGGTATGCCCGGCCCATCCATTCCCTTACAGCCTGGGTAACTGCACTTTCATGTGCGACTACAGAAGGCAAGAGGCACATCTATGGAGCGGGGAACCTCAGTCCAGAAGGCAGCGCAGCGCGAATATTGAGTGCGTCACGTCTGTTACTGATTTTGTGGGAGCAGGTACATTAGGCAGAGGCACAAGCAGAGAGGCTGCCAGACCTGCTGGGCTCTGCCAATGCCGCCTTGAAGACAAGGGGCACTCTGATCCATTCAGTTCTGACAGCCCCTCTGAGCGCGTTTCCCTCCTCACCCATCTCATGTATCAAAGCAGCAGATCCCCTGGAATGCAGCCTGACCCCAGAGCTCCCTACACTGGAGTGGGACGTGGGAGCGGTGAGCGCCGCTTCTAATAACCCCGGCAAGCACCACTCGGACTCCGCTCCCAGCTGTTAGATCCTCCTGCACCCCACTGATCCCCTGCAGCGACGTGTGGGGCTGTACATTAGAGTGAGGCTCACACTGAACGGAACTAGTTTGTAATCGCACATACTGGACATTGGCCAAGTTTAACGTCCCTGGGGAGCCTTCCCTTTGGAGATTCCTGAGCCCTGGGTTAAATTCTCAGTAACACCACTGCAGTGATGGGGGCTTCCCCCCACAGCACCTCCCCACAGCTGAATAAAGCTCGTCCCAGCGATGCTGTAGCCCCTGCCAGCCTTGCTGTGGGGACAACCAGGGGGAGGAGAGGCAGGAAGGCCAGACCGGTAACCTCAGAGCACTGAGCTGCAGACAAGTTACGGTGAAGCTTAGACACGGGATCAGTGTCAGTCCATCAACCCAAACGGGTGTGAAGAGAGTCCCCGAGTATTAAAAAGCAGCAACACAGGGGGGTTGGAATCCAGAAAAGAGCGATTGTCGTGTTCACTGCCCTGGACAACAGGGACTCAGGAGATCTGGATTCAATTCCAAGCTCTGCCAGACTCCCTGTCTGACCATGGGCGAGCCACTTGGGCCTGGATCCACAAAGGGACGGAGGTGTTTGAGGTTCAGCGTCGCAAAATCGAACTTTTACACATCTAGGAAATCACTGGAACAACAACGGGACCCACAGGCCTGAGCTGGGTGCCCGGGCGCCCCACGCAGTGAATGGGGAGGGAGAGGTGCCTAAGAACGGGATCCACAACAGCCAGCGCGCTAGACAGGGGCTGCCCAAGCCAGCCAATAGGAGACAGTGACCAGGCCTGTGCCCTAAGCCCCGCCCCTCTCAGAGCTCAGCACCTCAGCCCTGGCTGCAGGGAGGGGCCCAGCCCTGCTAACAACCTGCAGCGGGGACCCCCCGCCCTACGTCACATCTTGTGAGAGCGAGTGCAGCAAGTGCATAAATCCACTGAAAATGGCTGGGGGGGGGGGAAGGTGGCGGAGGGGCACGGGGGAAGAGAAGACGACCTCCCAGATACCCTAACCAGTGAGTTAAAAGTTTCTAACCCTGGATGTGAGACCCTGCTTCAGTCCCCCTCTCCCTGGTGAGCAGGGATTTGAGAGCAGGGGGGTCCCACCTCTCAGGTGGATGACCTAATCATGAGATTACAGAGGGATTCTAACTCTCTGACCCAATTAACATTTAATTAAATAATCAAAGTGGAACAACTTCAACTGGAAATATTGAGGGATTCCATCCATCAGACTGTCCCAGAGATCAGTGGCTGGGCTCTCACCTGGGAAGTGGGAGACCCCTGTTCAGATCCTGTCTCACTTCAGAAAGAGGGGGGGACCGGAACCTGGGTCTCTCACATCCCAGGGGGGTGCCCTAACCACTGGGGCAGGGTTAAGGGTGGGGAGTCTCCTTGCCAAAATCCTGTTTCACAGAGGCAGGCAGCCTAAGCACACCTGCCAGATCCTGCCCCACGGATACGACAGGCCTCTGGGTGCCGAGAGCCAAGCAGCGGCACACGCCCAGACGCAGGAACGGAAGCACGGAGGGAACTTCTACAGCAAAAGCATCGTCCTCGGGTGATCTCGGGTACCCCCAGGCTCAGCGGCAGCCGGACAGGGATTTGGAGGATCACAGGGGTTTCTGACAGGGGGACTTCGACCCTTTAGTGCCCTTTGTGGAACTGGGCCACGGTGCCTTGGCTCCCGCCACCATAAAATGGGGACAAGGACACATCCCTGCCTCACAGGGGTGTGAGCAGAAATTTGTTAGCATCTGTGATGCTCTCAGGTACGAGAGTGATGGGGGGAGGCATGAAAGATACTAGAGAGACTCCTGTCTGACCTGACTGCTAAAGCAGAGAGGCCAGGGAGAGAGGACGTGGAGCTGTGAGCCACAAAGGGAAAAACTCCCCCACACCCAGAGACTGAATCAACAGGGGGCAGGAACTTACCTCCCAAAGCTGCTGCTAAAGCAATGATGATCACCACCAAGACCCCGACTATGGCAATGAACACAGCTCGGCCTTTAGATATAGCAGCTTTCCTGAAGTTACAGTTAGCTGGAGCATCTGAAAGATAAAAACCCGTTTATGCTCCTGGGGCTACGGAGACCAGAATTGTTGCTATCAGGCTCTGATCTGACACACACCAGATATTTATTTTGATTTCTAAAATGGTTCTGGCCCTGATCTGGACACAAATATTAACTAGAACTCCCATCCAGACCGCGAAGGAGAACATCACCATCCAAATCACTAGTGTGTGGTTAATTAGCTCAATTAATCCCCAGAAAGGACCCTGCAGAATTCAGGGGGATTCAGAGGAGGGTGGAGGATGATCAAGGGCCTGGAAAATCCATGACAAGAGTCTGAAAAGCCTGGGATTGTTCGCCATGGAGAGGAGGTGAATGAGGGGGGACAGGATGAACAGTCTATACAGTAACAGATAGGACAGAAGGCAGACTGGAAGCTTTTGTTGGTAAAGCTGTGGCAGTCCCTGCACACCCCCTTGTGGCCTGGTGTGATACTGTGGGTGCACCTCTCCTTAATTTCCCTTGATTGGCAGCAGTACATTTGCTTTAACAGCCCAAGGCAAGAAGGCGGCAACACTAATTAACATAACAGCACGTCCCTTTTTAATAAGGCTTCAGGACAGGAGCAATTTCAACCAACAGTTCATATGCTCTTCACCTCAGGACCTGGGTCAGGGATCCCAAAGTTAACATCCATAAAACCAAGTCTCAGGCTGATTAGGTTGGTCTTCTAGAGCCTGCGAGAAACCATCACCTGCTGCAGCCTGCCTGGCTTCTACTCCCCTCTCTCCTTCAGCTCCCTCTTCAAATAGCCCAGGCCTATGGTGTGGCAGGGCTGCCTTGATTACACCTGTGCCAGATGTAGCCTCCTGCCTGTCCCTTAAAGAGGTAGTTATCCCCTTCCCATTGTTCTCCTTGTCTCATAACACAAGAACAAGGGGATATTCAATGAGATTAAAAAGGTGGGAAAGGAACTATTTTGTCCAGCCAATGTATAATTGGACTGTGGAACTCACTGCCACAGGAAATTGGTAAAAAGAATTTAGGAAAGTTAAAAAAGGGATTGAGCATTTATATGGTTAACATGAATATCCAGAGTTGTCATAATTAACAACCAAAGGTTGGCAGGAATGTTGGAAGAGCATCTCCATCCCAGGGAGAGTAAATCCAGGAAACTCCCCCTGGAATTCAATCTTCACAAATCCTCTTCCCTAGTGCCCCAAGCCACATCTGAGGGTATGATACATGCACTGGCAAAACACAAATGAATGTGCTGTGGCCACAGGCAGCTACACCTGCTCCTGGCCATGCACGAAGGCAGGGCTCTGCATGGGTTATGAGTGCAAACACCTCAACTCACACACTGGAAGGACAAACAAACAGAAGGCAAGAGCAGTGACAGGAGCGACCCAGGGAGATGGGAGCCAAACGTTTTCAAGGGGATAGAACACGTACAGTACTAAAAACCATATGTGCACCTGCCACACAAGAGAGCATGTGCAGCACGAGCTGAGTCCATTGGAGCAATACAGCCTCTGCTGCACGGGGCGGGGGAGGAGAGGCAGCATCTCTCTCAGCATCTCTAGGCAGGGAAGCTCCAGTTACCTCGTTCTCCTCCACTCTTCAAGTCTCTGGAGCTGTTAAGAGGCTGTTCAGGGGGATCTGCTTCCACTCCCTCCTGCATCTCATTGCAGTGAGGCAGCCGTGGGTGCTGGACTCTGATCAACTTGGAGCCAGCTGCAGGAAATGGCTCTACGCAGCCACGGCAGAGTCAGTTCCAGTCAGCTGCAGTGTCCCTGGCTTTGGCTCCTCTCCCGGCTGCCCTAGAATGTGCAATGACAGAGTCAGGACAGTACAGGGGTCGGTGGGTTTGTTTGTGGTGTCCCATCCTCCATTCATCAGAACAAAAGCCCAGAGTTTGAATAGTGCAGTAATCAACCCCCTCCTGTGTCATCAGGCCCCTCATTGAAGATTCCCCATTTCCTCTCACTCCTCAATTGGGAGTTGGGCAGGAGAGGGACACACGGACGCTGCGTGTGGGGTGAAAGCCAGGGATGTGCACATGCCTTTTATGTCTGGAGTGTCCGGGCACACAATGCAGAACTGCACAGGCACTGGCAACTCTGGGAAGTTGGGGGGGGGTGAATTTGAGATGCAGCTTTGGGAGGGGCACAGACACAGCACCTTGGAAGGACTCTAAGGCACACAGTCTCCCCCTCCCCCCAGTTGGATAAAAATCCGTGGTTTAAAATTTGATTTTTTTCTTTAAATAAATACGGTTTTAAAATTAAACTTGAAATAATGACCTAAACCTAAACCTACTATAATCCATTAAAATCATTTACGTTAAATGAAAAGGAATAATATTCCAGCAGAACATGTTTGCTGATGACGTCTTGAAGAAAATCAGGCCACTGAAGTGGTGCCAGTCACTGGCTAAGCAGCAGTGACAGAGGTTGTTAGAGCAGCTTTGCACAGCAGTAGCCTCTTGCACAGGTGCAGAGACTATTCTCTTCATTTCAGTTTATTCAAAGAAACCGACTGGGAGTTGCAAAAGCAAGAAACCGTGGTTCTCAACCTGCGGCCCAATCAGCACACAGCTGCGGCCCATGTGACACCTCAGGGTCACACTTGCCGTGGGGAAGTTCAGGCTAGAAATTAGACGAAGGTTTCTGACCGTGAGAGGGGTGAAA